AGCAGCTGGGGAAGGCACATTTTCCATAGCAGGGAATACAAGGAGGGAATGGTTACTGTCCCCTCCCCATATCATGGATTTGTCTGTGAAGGAGGTTTGGGAAATTAAATGGGAGATCTAATCTAACAGTGAGGGGGTGTCTGTGAGATCAGAGTCAGAAATGTCAGTGATGGATAAAATGCCACTAAATGTAGACAGGAACTGGAAGAGAGTAGACAGGCTGTTTGAGGGCAGATGCAACCTGGCTGTGAACAAGATAAGAGGTTGAGGGTAGTCTGATTACAAAAGAGAGGCACAAAAAGGATATTAAAAGGTCACAAGTAACCCTGCATCAAAGGCAGACAAGATTCTTTGGGTGAGTCCGATATCTTTTATTAGACCAACTTAAATATGTTATATGCCTATGTCCTTAGACCAACACAGCTACAACCGACACCCCAGCATCAAAGGGCATTTATACACATGCTTCAGGACACGGGGAGTCGGGAATGCTTTAGTTAGAGAGATGCTGAGAGCCGCTCTAATGAAAGCTCTTGGAGTGTCATGTGTATCAGTTTTCCACACTGAAAAATTGTGGCACGGATGCCTAAACTAAAGCTTGTAGAATAAGCTTCAGTTAAAAGTGCCCCTGCTGCCATTTTTCAGCTTGGGGACGCTGAGACACATGACGCTGAAGTCTGCTGGAATGTGATAATTAATAGAGTCTGCTCCAATGTGCTGTAATTATGGTGCATTGGAGCAGCCTCAATGCACTTGTATAGATACCGTAACGTGCAAACACACACAGCTTAGGTAAATCCCATCTGTGAAGAGCTCTTAAAGGACATCAGAAATGGCCTGTCTATTAACAAGCCTGTGTCTATTAACAGGGAGATAATATGCAGGATGTGGTGACTGCCATACCTAGGAATATGAGGAGAAAGAGAATATCTGAGGAAGGAGAGCAGCCTGTGTTTTCTGTGTAAAGGAGCCAATAGACATCAGCAGTGTCCTTATGAACTGGGCTTAAAGGAGAAATTCAAACACTTTAGAGACAACCTGTGAATGGGGAGCATAAGAAGAGCCTTAGCAGGTCATTTGCTTTCTGATTTTATGGATCTGAGAGTACAGTTGGAGAAGGAGGTAAGGAAGCATAGTTTGGAGAAAGAAGTGCATATTCACAAGAGGTGGAAGGAGTATAGGGTTGGAAGGGTCCTCAAGAGTCATCTAGTCCAGCCACCTGTATAAGATTTGCTATTTCTAAACCATCCCAGGCAGATGCTTATCCATCCTCACTCTTTGGAAGGGCTTGATTAGCACGAGGAGGAAGCAGACACTCATGTTACTGTATGCTCACACTGTATGTACAGTACTGATGGAAGGGTACCATATACATTGGCAAAGCTCCTGCACATCCAGGGGCAGATCCGGGGGGAGAGGGTGCAGTGGTGTGGCTGTCCTTCCCCACCCCCCGCTTTCTGACCATGCTGTAGGAGCAGCAGCCAGGGATTTAAGTCCTGAACAAGGTAAGAATTCCCTGCTCCCTTCCCCTCCATGGTCAAAGACATATCCCCTCCCTTGCCCTCCCTCCCATTCCCCACTCCCCAGCCTACCACTGCCACTGTTCCTGCTGGCTCAGGGGCATGGGGAGCTCCAGCTGAGCTGCACAGGGACTGGACTTAGCCCAGGACCATGAAGAAGTGATGGCAGTGGGTGAGCCTGTTCCTCCTCCCTGCCTGCTCCCCCAGGTGTTCCCCACCAGCTCAGAAGCAGGTACATGGAGGGGAAATGTGCTCTCCCACTACTACTGCTATTGCTATGGGGAAGAAGGTGGGAATTTAAGTCTCCAGCTGCTTCTCCAGCAATGTTCACTGCTTGCTGCAATATGGGGAGCTTAGGAGGCTAGGAGTAGGAGTGCAACCACCCTTGCAATGCCTGTTACTGTAAGTGTACCCCTCCTTTGTAAAATCCTGGATCTGTTTCTGAGCCCATCTGAGGGGAAGAGGAGACGCCTACAGTGGGAAGATAGAAGGCAGAGAGTTTGCAGAAAGGGTCTTGAAGGTCCTATGCATCTCAATGAAATTCTGGCACCAAAGTAGGGGGAAAATTTGAGTGATTTCCCTGAATCTGAAAGGGCTCGCCCCTACACTTAAAGTTGCCAGAACATCTCAGATGGATCTGAATACTTTTTATTTTTGCTACTCTTTGCATAATGCTAGCAGGATGCAGGGCACTTTAGTGATGTAAAACATTTCTGGGAATCTAATTTGGTCCTTCTGGAAGGCACTGAGTTGCATCATACATCCATAACTGCACAGACAAATAACAATCCTCAGTAGAGATATCCATGGATCCTCCTGCAAAAAGTCTTCATACGCACTTCAAATATGCATAATTTGTGTTTGTTGCAATAAGAAAGATATAAACTTTTCCAGGAAACTATATCAAAGCCAATTTGTCAACTGAGGTTACTTCCTTCCTTGGCAGTGATCAGGGAAAAAGCATTTTTATTTTACATGGAGACAAAAATGCATAGATTTTACCACTCACCACTTGTGAGTAGAAAACCCACTTCACAGAATCCCAAGACCATATGGGTGAAGTATTTGATTGGGACTTAGGAGATTTGGGTTCCCCTCTTGACTCTGCCATATGCTTGGGCAAGTCACAGTCCCTTTGTGACTCATTTCTCTATCTGTCTTTTCTTCCTTTCTATCTTATCTAAATACACAGTGAGTTTTTGAAAACAGGAACCTTCTCTTACTGTGTTTGCACAGTACTTACCATAACTGAGCTCCAATTCTGGAGTCAGCCTCTCCACATTACTGTAATACTAATAATAATGTGAGCCCCATTGAGTTCCTTGAGAAAATATTGGAGAGACATCTGGGCAGAAGGGACTGTGTGAATGGATGTGAAGTGACACTAGGCATGAGTAAGGTAGCAAGGGAACTAGGGGACATCTATATAGTGCTGTGGACAACAGAAGAAATATTGAGCAGGAAGATAAAAGTCCACCTCTTCAGAAAAAACACCCAAAAAAGAGGACATTTAAGATGTTTATTGCAATTTACACATTATCTGACACCAAGCACAAGAAACCCCTACAGTATTGGTTATATTTAAGTGCTGGGTACTACTATTTTACCATAAAAATTGTTGAGTCACATTGGGAAGGGGGCAAGCCAGCTGCAGTAGAGAATAAGTACTCCTGGGTATATTCTTGGCAACAACCAAAAATGACAGAAGCAAGGATCTTGGTGATAGCAGCAATAGGCAGAGGAGGACAGACATCAAGATAGAACAAGCAGCAACAAAGTGGTCACAGTCAAGAGTTTCAAGAAACATTACTGAACACCTATGGACAAAAACAAAATAAGAGTTGGCTACCACAAGGACCACACGTGTAATGATTATGTTTTCCAGAATTCTCAAGAAAGTGATCCCTATGCTGGAAGTCAGATGTACAGTCTATCACTGTTTCCTTCATCCAGCTGTCAGCAGCTCTATTGACAAAACTACAGCTAGCACCTTTACTGTAGTTCTGTACTCTTTCTTTCATTGAAGCTATGCACCACCATTGGTCAATTTACTTTGTAGCTTAAGCATGTTTCTGGTTTCCTCAGTAATGCTAAGCTCTCAAATACCAGCATCTTTCCAGTTGGCTAGGAGACTCTGTCCTACTGTGATGGCTGATAAACTGTTTTCAGTTATACATTCCTTCATCACCTCCCATCCATATTACAGCAGAGCAATATACTTAGGCACAGAAGTCCTAGGTATATTAAGACATATTAAGGTCAGAGTCCCCCTCTTCATAGTGCTCAATGGACTGTGCCTAGTATACTTTAAAGAATATTTGAAACTCTGAGAAGATGAAGACCATGTTCACCAGTACCGCTCCTTAGGTGCTATGCAACTTCTACCAAGGTCAAGTGAGCAGGAGACAGAGCTTTTTCAGGGGCTAGCTAATGCTGTGAAATGAATTCCCACAGGAACTGAAAATAATCACAAACTTTACCACCTTCTGGTCCAAGTGCAAGGCACAGTTCTTCAGCCTTTCTTTCTCTAACCTAAACAATTAGCAGCATGGACACTAAAAACTAAGGAATTCCCACCAAAACATAAAGCCCAACACTGAAAACAAAATTCTCACTTGGGCAGAAGGTGAGCGGAGGAGACGCACATTGCTGATGTTAGTCATATTGACTAGTTATTAGAAGGCACCCAAGTAGCATGGTGATGATTATGGTATAAGACTGCTGGAGAGAGGAGAGGACAGTGGAGGACAGGCTAGGAGAGGAGAATAAACTAACTTTTTTGACTGCACAGTAACTGGCAGGGGTGGGGTTTAAGGTCATCTTACTTCCTGACTTTGTTCTGCAGAAGAAGCAATAATCTGCATCTCCAAAACAAGAAAACCCAGGCCAGTTGCACATTATTTTATCACTGCTGATAAGAAAGATTGATCAATGCTGTGCCAGACAAGTAATCTGTAATGACGCATTTAGATCTTGCATCCTTCTCTGGGGGACAGCAAGCTGCACACGCTTCTGTGCTTCAGCACAAGTGCACATGGATGCTGTGCCTGCCTTCAGAGAAGGCTTAAGTTTGCCACAAGACTGGAGTAACTTGGCAGGATCATTGTCATTAGTGCAGAACTGGGATCTGTTACACGTCATTCTGCCTTTCACTTTCCATCTCTCAAGGACACCAGTGCAACACTGCACACCTGCACTGGGCAGAATTTGTCCTGAGGACATTACCATCTGGTCATGAATTCATGGCCCCAGTTAATTTTACCATGGACTTCTCTGAGGCTTAACATCTACCATAAAGCTTCAAACTCAGACTTGAATAAATCCATCAACAATAATCTCATTATTATGAAGTATAAGTCATATTATCTCTGTTCTATAGCTTGATGATGAGAAGTGTGTGTAGCGGGGGAGACAGATTTGTATAACAACATGTTTTTGACATTTTATACACAATAAAGAAAAATATTAAGAGGAGCTTACCCTCACAAGACTCTTGTAATGTCACTGTGGCCATTATATATTCCTTTGCATTTAGTGCTACACATGTGAAATTTGACTGAAGATCCTCTTGTTTCACTTCTGTGACCCTTAGCACAGCCTCTCCATAACGTTCTTTAAAAGTTCCTGAAAACCTAGCAGGAAGAGTTGCTCATGGCAGTTCTTAATGGAAAGGTACCACTTGAAAAATAGAAAAATAATTTCACACAATACCATGCTTACCTGTGATAGTCTTCCTGAAACCTCAAAGGATCTAAATATTTAGCTTGCAAGTCACCAACATCCCAAGTGACAACTTCTACATTTTGGTTCCCAATCCCCAGAAAAGCTTTACAGGAAATGTTCACAGGGGCACCTGAACAAGAGAAAAAAGGATGGTAGGTATTCCCAGACAAAATGTAAAAGTAACTTTTGTTAACCCAAAAAATCTTTTTCTACATGTCCCTACATCAGCCCCCAAGCTTGCCTTAACATTTCTCTCTAATCCACAAGTTTAACTCTAAAAACTGTATGCATATAAGAAACAGAATTGGAAACAGAAAAGAGTGAAAAGAATTTCCAAGTTACAAGGAGAATACATATGTAGACTCCTGTGGCTATCTGTGGTTATCTGAAACAGATTATAGAAAAACTACATGAGCATGAAGATAATGCAGGTTGATAATATATAGGAATCAAACAGATTAGTCTACTTTTAAGAAAATTTAAGAACAAAGACTCATTTACACAAAAACTTGCATTAAAACATCAGTTTTAATTCAAAGCACCTTTGCTATTTCAGGCAAGTTTGTGCATAGATACTTATTTTGGAAGAAGACTATACTGATTTGATTTTGCTCAAGAAATCAGCCCAAGCAAAAGTGAAATAGGAAATATTTATTCTCAAAAATGAGTCGTCGTATCTGGCACCAAAATAATAAAGGCATAAATTAAAACCAGTTTCATTACTGCCCTGCAAATCTGTGCCTATACACAAAATTAAGGTTACGAATCTCATGCAGATAAGAAAAAGGAGAATTCCAGCACCTCAGCAATCAGGGAACAATATATTTATTAGAGTAAAAAATGTGGGATGTTAAGTTTCTGTAAGTAAATTTAGAGTTTTGAAAAGGTACTAGCCTATTTGATATCCCATAAAGCAGGGTGGAACCCAGCTAGAAACAAAGTACTGCCTCTCTCATTTGGGGGAGATTAAAGATCAACTAGTTCTGTGGAATAAATAAAGAACAGTTAAAAACCAAAACCAGGAATGTAAATTACAAGTTTAATTACAAGTTTAAGTTACAGATAAGCAAGCTAGGGACACTGAGCAGAGAACACGGACACTGCCCACTGCAACCAGTGCAATTTAAATGTGTTAAATTGAGTGTCCCGGACAGTAAAATCTGTTTGCTCAGATCTGGCTGTATGAAAATTTCAATCTGTGCCCACACTAGGCGTGTCTACACATATGCTTTAATGTACAGTAGCCTATTTTACTGTGCATTAAAGCGTCATGTAAAAAAACATACAATTAGACAAATGTCCAGTAAAATAGGCTATTGCACATTAAGCACCACTTAAAAACCATGTGCATTCGCTACTATACATTAAGGCAGCCTAACACACATTTCCTTAGTACCTCAGGGCACCTATATACAAGTGCGGAGGCTGCTCTATTGTCCTGGAATTGCAGTGGGTTGGAGCAGACTCGATTAATCGAGTATGTTGGAGCATGGTAATTGCCGTGCTCTGGCAACCTCCTGCATCTTGTGTATCGGTGTCCCTGTGCTTAAAAATGGCAGCAGAAACACTTGAACTAAAGCTCAAATGAGCTTTAGTTCAAGCGCCCCCACCGCCATTTTTAAGTGCAGGGACGCTGATACAGGAGATACAGCAGCACTTTAATTAGAGCAGCTTTTGGAGGCACTCTAATTAAAGTACTGCCCCCCTCCCAACTCCATCCCCAGAGCACTTGTAAAAGTGCCCTCACATTGGAAGTACTAAATTTAATGGGCATTAGAAAAAGCACTTTAATGTACGTGTAGATGTGTCCACTGTGTCCAGTGTGCCAAATGATGATCAGGAAGGAACACCCTTAACTACGAGAAGAGAACTTTGTTTACATGGTCATCTCACACCTGCCTGAAGTTATGCAGACAACACATTTACCCTGCTATAAATGTAAAATGCATATATGATGTTCATCTCCACATAGGTGTAAGTCACTCTATTCCAAGGTAAAGGTTACCCCTCAGGAAGTCAGGAGTAACAACTGTATTTTTTCACATGCACTATGCACCTTTATTTTCCCCTAATTAAGCTGCTGGATATTGGCATGTGCATTATAAGGGTGGAAATATAATAATAGGTAATGCCTCTGGGAGAAGAGGCTAAGAGAAAGTAATGCTGCAGTGCTACATGTGAGGCTCACTAGCTGCTGGCTATGGACACTTTGTCTTTCCCCAGGTGAGCTACAGAAGCTGCTACGTAGTTAACTTGCCAGCATTTTCAAGCAAAGATATTTTTAGTTCATTCTTGGCACACTACCCAAGATGTTTACTGTGCAGTTGACTAAATAACTGCACAGTAAATGTCTCAGTATATACACACGCGTCCCTATTAGGGCTCACAGAACTAATAAACTCTACACCAGAGTAGTACTTGTAAATACAAGTACTTGTAAATAAAAGTACTATCTTGATGAGGAGTTTTTTACTCCACAACAGTGCACATGTAGATGCTGCCCTGGCTGGATGGGGCACAAGGTTGCTTCAGTGCCAAGGCTGGCTAGCCCCAAGATGAAGCACCCTCATGCCCCAGACAGCCCCTCCGCAGTACATTGAGCCAGGTCAGAGAAGCCCCAGGCAGGCAGACTGACCCCTCGGCCCCCCTGCCAGCTATGGTTGCTGTGACCTGGCTTAATGTGCTACAGTCCAGGCACATGTGCAGATGTGTGCTCTGTCTTCCAAGAACAAGGTGCCCATCTTATTTGGGGCATGTTGTATGCAAGCAAATGCAGTATTTCCCAGTGTAAAATGTTACCGTCAATCAGAGATTGCATATCCACAGCTGTAGCTATTTTCAGACACAGGTAAAGTTTGTTCAGTTCAGTCAGGCTATTGCTTAGTCCCGTATCATTTCATGATAAAGTGGTGTAATATCTACCTCTGGAAAGCTGGTTTTTTCCCCAGTCCAAACACTGGTGTAATTTACACTTGTGTACAAAACCATAATGTGCTAATTCATCATTCGTCTACGCCTAAAACTGGTAGATGGCTGATATTAATGCCGAAACAGTCAAAAGACATCTAACCTTTTGATCAAACTCAAGCTAATAAAAATTCTAGTGAAAAAAACCTAGTGAAAAATGCTATTACTTACTAATCCTGTTATCAGTTCTTAAGCTATCCAACCAAGTACAGAAAATCATTTAAAAATTATTATGAAGATTGCATGTACTTACCGAGCACTACTTCTATTACATCATTATCTTCTGGAAATATAATTTGAGGAGATTTAGGTTCAGAGATGTCTTATAAATTAAGGGGGAGAGAGAAAGGAAAACAAGGATTAGTATATTGTCAAAATGTGATTTACAATACGAGCTGCTACTACCACTGCTTTAGAAGCCTACAATCAAGCTATCCTGAGGTAGATTTGCCATTTATTAGAATTAACTGATTTTCCAGCTATGACAAAATATTTTTTGGAAATATGTCACTTTGTATGACATGTATTCATTGTTGGGTTTTTTTAATTGTTTACATTTTTAACAGGGGGAGAAAAGAAAGGATTTTTTTCTCCCACAAAGGATGTTGTTTCAGCTGAGGGGTTGCCGTACCTATGGCATGCATGCCACAAAACAGGCAGCACAGTGGCAGATAGGGCAGGGAGCAGAGAGCAGAGCAGAGCAGGGGAAGAGTATTGGAGTGGCACCTGGAGATGGCGCACGGCTAATTTGTGGCACTTCTGCCAACCCCCCTCCTCCCACTCAGTTAGTTAGTAAAAAGAAACAATTATATTAATACACTAGCATGCTTTCTCAGACAGCTATGTTATTCTTTAACTTAATTTAATGTTTTAAAAAGAATGGGAATCCTTCAGCATTTGATGCTTACAGATTTATAGGCCTAAATGTTCAGATGTGCAATAATACCTGTATAGAGCTACTTATCCCTGAATTAGACATCCAGGGGTGCCTGTACATGATTGTGGAGGCTGCTCCAATGCACTGTAATTACAGCTCATCGGAGCAGACCCAATTCATCAATCTGCTGGAGCATGGTAATTCCTGTGGTCCGGCAGCCTCCCACATCTCATGTATCAGCATGCACGCTCTTCAGAATGGCAGTGGCGGCACTTGAACTAAAGCTCATTGAACAAGCTTTAGTTCAAGCACCCCTACCACTGTTTCTAAGTGTAGCAGGCTTGCCTTTTGGAGCCTGGGTTGAGTGCCAGGCTTGAAATCTTGCTGTTTTGATTGGTGGAGCTCAGCCCCCCATCAGGAGGCAGCAAGAGGAGTTCAGTCACGCCCCTTTCCTGAGGGGAGGGGGAGAGGGGGAGAGGAGTTCCCTCCCCCCCCCGTGGACCTGATTGAAGACTGCAACACTCAGGTCTGGAAGACTTCAGGGGCAGAGCCCTGGAGCGTATAAAAGGAGCTGCGTGCCCAGCACAAGGAGAACACATCCGGGAGTGAGAAGAGAGAAGAATGGGGCTTAGAAGAGCTGCTCAGCAGGGCAAAGCAGTAGCCCAGAAGCACCCCTGAAGACTTCCATCAGCAGGGAACGGCAGACGGCTCCAGCAACTAGGCTCTCGGTGTGCAGCACAACACATGGTGTCCAGACCCTGGGAGCTGCATGAGGCAGTTCATGTCTGCAACCTCTGGTGTGTGGCCAGAGACACAGTGCACAGGACGGTGCATGGAGTAGGACCTCTGGAGTGCTTGGGCGGCTCAGGTCCTCAACCCCCAAAACAAGGCTGGGAGCTCGGTGCGGGAGGCACTGCATGGAGGGTCCGGGAGTGGACCAAGCCTGGTGCTGCACGAGGCAGCCCAGGCTTCCAACCCATAGCAAAAGGTTGAGTCCAGAGAGCCAGATGTTGATGGGCCTACGGAGCCAGCAGACAGGGCCCAGCCAGAGGTCCCAGAAGCCCTGCATAGCGGAGCCCTGTTCCAGGGGACAGCGACCCCCACCCCGAAGCCCACTGCAGGTGAGAGAGCAGTCTGGCACAGAGGACAAGGACTACCCTCCAGGCCTGGGAGCCGTGAGTTGCAGGCAAAAGAGGATTCCCACAGGGGAGGAATATATATATATATATATATATATATATATTGTACATATGTTTATATCCATGTTCCTTTCCCTTGTGATACATTAATGTAAATAAATGTGTATATAGTTAAGTCCCCTGACTGTCCTGGCCTGGTTCTATAGGGACGGAGGGAAACTGAGCGGTCTGCAGTCCCCCGTCCCCACCCCCACAGCACACCTGCCAGCTAACAATCCCCTTCAATCGGAGAAGGGGAGTATATACCCAAGTTACCTGGGCTACATAAGCTTGGAGACACTGATGCATGTGACGCTGCAGCGTTTTAATTAGAGTGGCTGTCAGAGCCAATCTAAAGTGCCACCCTCCCCACCCTCAAACCACGTGTAAAAGTGCCCCAAGTCTTTGTGTTTGTTTTAAATTCTAACATTTTTCTTTCTTTCTACCATGTTCCAGCCCTTTTCCACAGTCTCCCCTCGGAACTTTTTCCCTTGCCCTCCCATTCCCCAGAACATCTCAAAATGCCTCAGCCCCCAAATCTCATCTGTCTAATGGCTCTGCAGTACAACTTTCATTCTTTTCTCCCCAAATATCAGGGTTATCAATTCTTTCCCCTAACCCTGACTTTTCTTTTTTCAGCAGCTGGAATGAAGGAGATGGGAGCAACGAGAGAGGTAGTAATATTATAGGTCTCTGACTGCATTCTGTACACTTGACAATGTTTGAACCCAGGTAGCAAAAAAAGAGCCCCAACCCTGTCCTCTACAAATTATGTTGCAACAGCCATCTCTTTGCATTCAGTTTCATGAGAAGTCAAATATAACAGTCTGGCTCATATGAGACATAAACTACTTTGACTGTGGAGAAGTCTGTGGCAAAGAGGGAAGGGTGACGTATTCACTATCCTTGATTAGACCTGGCTGGAACATTTTCAGCCAATGAAATACATTTTGTCCAAGCTGGAAGTTTTAATGAACAATTATCTCACCCCCAAATAGTTTCCCAGCAAAAAGAGGTCTAGTACTCCCATGCTCTATAAATCCTGGGATGTGAAAGATCCAGGTTCAGGTCTCAGGTTGACCTAATTCAGAGGGATCTGGTAGGAAAAACGTTATCCTTTATTCAGCAGAGGCGGGACTAGAACCTATCTCCCACACCACTGGCAATCACCAGCTCTACTGAGCCCTTGCCAAACCAAACAGCTCAGAGTTCAAGTTGAAAACAATCACAATTCTATTTTTCTCAAATAAACATGCTGACATTTGGCTTTTCATCTCAGTGCACAGCAAAACCAAAATTTTAAAGTCTTGAAAGCTTCTGCAATCTGTATTTGTCTTCTGGTCAGTTCTACCCTTAACCACAATGATAATACTGAAACTTATTGATGAGTTACCAGTGAAGACTGCACCCCCGCATTCCATACCTGTCTCACTGATGACAGCCACATTCTCCAAAGACCACAGATTACAAAGGGCATGTGCCAGTATGGTCTTGGAGGTACCTAAATGGGAATTAGGAAGGTATTTTCCTACACTAGGAAAAGCAATTCAACTTGGCTCCCCCAATAGAGGCTACAATCACACTAGGCCTACCATTTGGATCTAAAAAAGCCCCAGGTGCCTATAACCAGCATAATTTCTCTGCTTCTAAGCTGTCAGCAGTGGGGGCTGTGCATCACAAACCCCACACCGACCCACAAACCCCCCTACACACACCCATACCCCCTCACACCCTTTCACAAACCCTCCACAAGCCCCTCACCCATCCATAACCCCTTCCACCACCCACACCCCCACACCTTCACAAATCCCCACACACACAACCCACACACACCCCAACCATACAAAGTACTTGCATATATTTCTAAAGAAGGTTCAAATAGTGTTATATTTAGTTTAATTTGTACAAAAAAAATTAATTTAGCATAATTTTGAGTTTTCCTGCACATAATTTTGAATTTTTTCTGTGCATAATTCCGTTGGGTGTACAGAGTGGTCTTAGCTGTGGCCCCAGCTCGCCCATCCAGAGGGACTGCCTAGGGACTTCTTCACAGCCTACTCCTTCCCAGCCAGGAAGCCTGCCCCAAGCCTTTAACCCCCTTCACAGCTCCTACAGGCATGCTCCAAGCCTCCCATTGTTCCTCAGATGCTAGGAGCCTACCTGCTCCCCTGCCTCTCCACCTCCTACACACTACAACTGCATAAAGTGTTAAGAAAGCTTTGGAAATGGGCATTTGGAACTAGTTGATCTTAAATGGTTGTAAGAATAAATATGAGTCCACTAAGAAAGCAGTAGTATTTATTTACAGCTGTTTACCTACATTTAATTCCATCTCTGTTAATCACATAAACTAAAGGAGCGAAAGAGGAAAAAAAAATGCGATAGAAATTGCAAATTCAGAGAAAATCCCAGGATTCGTGATAGAGCAGTGAGGCGTGTCTTTGTGGCAGCAGTGAGTATGTCATTTTACCTATGCATGTTTTCATGTGCGCCAGTGATTTTTATAGCTTTAAAAAATTGTTACAGGCAGTTTTAATGAAGACTGAACTAGTCACCTCAATCTGACTGCTGGGGTAAATGGTGACCCCCATTTAACTAGTAACCCTGGTCTAACCAGTGACATGAGTTTAACCGGTGACCCCAGTCATTTTTGTGGCTTGGTTCCCATTGTGGTTCTGTAGGACAGGGCAAGTGGTGATTCGGTTCCAGTTCAGGTTCAAATCAGCAGGGCTGGGGGAAGCGGGGGGCGGTGGCTTGGGAGTGAGGGGCAACATCATATCAGGGCTGTTCAGCATCACAGATCAGTTGGGAGGGGGGGCAACCACAGCTGGACCACATCCCAGTGAGTGAGGGGGGCAGCAGGAGCTCTGATTTTCCATGATTAAAAAAACAAAACCAAATGCCAAAATACATAGGTATTTAGAATGTATTTTATTATAGTGATTGAGGCATTTATAAGTTTTCAAATTGCTTAAAAACTGTAAATATAGCACTAAAATGTTGTGTTCAACTGATACCTATGTATAGAGAGGCTTTTCATTTTAATCACAGATTTGGAAGGCTTAATCAGAGAATTTGTGATATTTTTATCAGAGAATTTGCAATTTTTAAACAGAGAAAACCAGGACCCCTGTTATCACCACATCCAGCTGCCAATATCATTAAAAGCTGCTGCTGATAGCTGTAATGTGGTCAAGAATAAGGTATCCCTAGAAGACCATTAAGAAATATAGCCCAATCGTGCATTTTTGTGTATTTTTTCCATGCACAAAATTTATGTTCAAGAAGCTGATTATAAGATTTATAATCAAGATGCAACAAAATATTGGGCAACCTTTTATTAAATAATTGATTAATAAAATTCACTTTGATCTAGCAAGGCAAGTAATAATCCCTTATTTTATTTAAGATGCAATATGGCTACCTTACTTTTAATTACAAAGAGTCTTGTTGCTGACACGTTATACTCATTTCCACTGTGTGTGTAGGTAAATTGGCAAGTATAATATCCTTCATCAGTTTTTACTGGAGCCTTAATATAAAGATATTTGTTCCATGAGAAATACTTTTTTCCTTGGAGAAGTTTGCAATCCTGGAAAATAAGACACTTCCTTTATTTAGCCATCTATAATAAGACATAATCATCTAATCTAATTTTCATTGGCACTTAGCGTGTTTATATTTACCTTATACCAGTGGACAAGAGTTGCATTCTCATAATTGTCTATTGTAGGACAAACAACTCTGCCAGAAATAAAAGTTCCAGTGTCTTTTGGATAACGTATTTGACTTGGAAAACAAATGTCTCGTTCGTATGGGTACACCATCACACTTACTCTGGAATGTGTTGTAAGATTATTAGAACTGAAAAAAGCATGGAAATGACAGAACATGTTGGAACATTTCTATGCATATCCAGAAATAACCTACATTTCTAGTTGCTTTACACACACACACACACACACACACACACACACACAGTATACATAGAAGAGGATACTGAAAGACATAAAATACAGATAAAAATGTTTAAAAAAAAATCATGACTCAAAAATAGGGACTGGAGTATAAAAGTTGCAGGTACTTGGTGCATGCCAACATTAGAGATAGGTAGTTCAAATCCCTCATTAAAACACAGCCTTAAAAACTGCATTTTCACTGTTCCACTTACTACTGCGTGACACAGGTATAATATCCCGAGTCCTCTTTTGCTGTTGGCAGAAACCAAAGAAATCTCCCAGAGGAATGTATCCGTGCTCCTTCATCTGCAGGAATGGTCTTGTTGCCTTCCATGTGATACCATTTAAATGTCAGACTATTTCGTTTAGGGCATTTTACAACAAAAGCCTCACCTTCCATTGCATCAACTGCACAAGGAGAAAAAGTTTTCAGTGTCAGTTAAATTAAAAATACCTAGTAAGTCTAGAGGTGAAATCTTGACCTCATTGAAATCAATGGGAGATTTCACATGGACTTGACTGAGGCCAGAATTTCAAACTGTAAGCATCCAACATTTTATATATTCAGTAGGAAACTGCAATAACATTTCAGAAGAGAAAGACTGACCACTGATAGTACATGTGTGTTGTTATACAAGTCAAGCCAGTTTTATACAAGAACTATGCTGGTTTAATGATTGGTAAAGTTTTGACCCAATTTGGTTAAAGTGGTGCAACTTGATTTGCAGCTACTTTTACATCATTTTAAACCTCGGCTATGTTAGCTGCATCAAGTTCAAACTAAATTGACATTCAACTTGATTTTAAGTGAATCAGCACACAGAACACTGCTTTGATTTCACAAGATGAGCTTTTAATTTTTTCAATAGTTGCAGTTTTTATGTGCAAACAAACCATTAGTAGTCAAAACCATTATTAGTCAAAATCCAAAATGGTAAGACAGTTCTATTACTTTACAAATATACAGAATACCCATTGTGTAAACTCTGTACTTCAAGTTCAGAGTGTATTTGCTATATGAGTGCAGTATGTTTGCTGTGAACTAGTTTACGTTGGATTTGTATTATACTAAAATGATAATAGCATATAATGGAGTCCAAGTAAATATTCTGTGGTTTTAATAGACCATACACACAAGGGAACTGAGTGAAGCTCTCATACTTATGTAACCCAGTAGACTTTCAGAAACTAATACAGGGATGAAATCAGCACCAACATAGTTCTTATTTCCTTCTAAATATTGCATATCTAGAAGTGACACATTCATAGAGCTAATAATTATTGTGCAAAGTAAGTCTGAAAACAAGTATTTTCAGAATGCTATAGTACAAGAAATAAAGCTGGAATTTTTTTACAAAATCATTTTCCACACTGATTTGCTGAACCAAACTGCATGGAAAAATCAGTCAGACCTTACTCTCCCTCATTTGTCATGGAAAATTTAAAAAGTCTTGGGTTCATCCTGGTGCAGAACAAAATCCACAGACAAAACCCCAATTTTTTTGTGAAACAATTTTTGTTTTCTGGTTACACTTATTAAAACTCCAGTTTGTAGCGTCTTTCTTGCTATATATTAACATTTTCTTTAATTGTATTACAGGCACAACTGAACATCAGGTTTATTACCATATTACTAGGACTGTTATTTCAGCATAGCTGTTTGTTATGCATATGGTGGCTGAAGTGTTTTAAATATGTTTGAGATTGTACTTTGTTATATTGCTATTAGCTGGATGCCCTTAATTACCACATAGGCAAGAGGCTCTGTAGGAAAACACAAACAAGTATACACAGAGTGCATCTACATGTGAAATTAAAGTGAAGCAATAAACATTGGAGCTTGTTTCTCCAAAGTTTATTGCTCCCAGGCACGCCATTTGAACATGTACCTGGGACTGCAGCATGTTGAGCCAGGTTGGAGCAGCCCCAGCTGGCAGGGGCCCTGAGGATCAGCTTGCCAGCTCAGAGCTGCTCCCCCAGCTCAGTGTGCTGTGGAAGGGCTGGTTGGGGCATTAGGGTGCTCAGGGCAGGGCAAGCCAGCAAGTAGCCCCCATACTGAAGCATCCTTGTGCACCAGCCAGCTGGGGCAGGGTTTACATATGCGCTGCTGTGGAGTAAAGAACTCCACAGCAGAATAGGGTTTGTATTTAAATATGTAAATACAAGTACTGTCCTGCTGCGGAGTTGATTAATTTACTTCAGCCTAATAGGGCGGCATGTGTAGATGCACATTTACTGCAGAGCTAATTAGTCAACTTTTCAGTAAATGTCTTGTGTAGATGCACACACAAAACACCTGGAACAAATCCCCAAAAGAGAGGAAAGTCTCTTTGAGGTTCTTGAGAAGAAAGAGAATAAGTAAGCCAGAAGGGTAGGAGAGGTGAAAAAAGAAACTGGTCAATAAAGAGAAGCAATGAAGGCAAACAGAAGAGAAATTAAGAGAGGGGCATGGTGGGTAGTTAAGGAAAACAAACAGAAAAATGAGACCAGAGAGGGGAAATTTGGAAGAGGGAAAAAACCACACTGAATCAGGTTTTTGAATGTTCAGTTCTACATGTTGATGACAAAGTTGTCACAGAAATGGAAACTGGATTATCAGATGTCTGGGTGCCTCACTGACATCCTGCCACACTTTTAGATTCTCTCATTCTTTGGAGTCTCAGACCAGCAGAGACTCCCTATACCTATAGGGGGTAAAAAGCACCCTGACTCCCTATACCTATAGGGGGTAAAAAGATTCCCTCCCTATAGGGGGTAAAAATCACCCTGTTCAAATTTGCAGATGACACTAAGATGTGGGGGAAGTGGGCACATTAGAAGGGAGGATTAGGTTGCAATTGGACCTAAACAGGTTACAGGGGTGGGTGAATGAGAACAGGATGGGTTTCAACACTGACAAATGCAAGTTACTGCACCTCGGGGGGGAAGAACCAGCAGCATACCTACAGGCTGGGGAACTCTCTTCTCATCAGTGCAGAGGCAGAAAAGGATCTTGGAATCATTATTGATGCCAAAATGAACATGGGCCGACAGTGTGGGGATGCGGTCAGGAAGGCCAACCGTACCTTTTCATGCATCCACAGATGCATCTCAAGCAAGTCCAAGGAGGTGATCCTCCCCCTCTATGTGACACTGGTCAGGCTGCAGTTGGAGTACTGCATCCAGTTCTGGGTGCTGCACTTCAGGAAGGATGTGGACAACATGGAGAGGGTCCAGAGGATGGCCACTCACATGATCGGGGTCAGCAGGGCAGGCCCTACGAGGAGAGGTTATGGGACCTGAACCTGTTCAGCCTCCACAAGAGAAGGCTGAGGGGGGGATCTAGTGGCCTGTTACAAACTAGTCAGAGGGGACCAGCAGGCATTGGGGGAGTCCCTGTTCCCCTGAGCACTACCAGGAGTGACTAGAAATAACGGTCACAAGCTGGCAGAGGGTAGATTCAGGCTAAACATCAGGAGGCACTACTTTACTGTCAGGGCGGCTAGGATCTGGAACCAACTTCCAAGAAAAGTGGTGTTGGCTCCTACCCTGGGGGTCTTTAAGAGGAGGCTAGATGAACAACTTGCCGGGGTCATTTGACCCCGGTACTCTTTCCTGCCATGGCAGGGGGTCGGACTTGATGATCTGCTCAGGTCCCTTCCAACCCTACTAACTATGAAACTACCTGAAGAAGGGTGACTGCACCCAAAAGCTTGCCAAGAACTTTTTTCCAACTACTCAGTTGGTCTAATAAAAGATATCACATATACTCAAAGAACCTTGCCTGGGTGCCAGATAAGCACCCAGATGCTGAAGTGACTAATTTAAGATAGACAACCAAGTCTTCAAATTATGGGCACACTGAAAAATGAAAAAGAATTGTCAGGCAGAAGGCTGGAAAAATTGACAAAGAAAGTACAACAAAAAATTAATAAAAAATAAAAAAGGGGGGGGGGGGGGGAAAAAGAAGAAGAAAAGTTAGCCAGATGAAAACAAGGAGTTACAAAGAAAAGCCCTCTATGATGGTTTCTGTTAGATTAGCAGTGCTCCTTCCCCACCAACCATTTTAAGTTGGAGGAGCAGCAACAGTGGTATTAGGAAGTGTGGGAATTGTCTGGCCTAAGGAGGAAATCATTGAAAAATAGAAAGTTTGCTAAACAAACAGAGGAGGATGAAAAATGTTATAAATAAGACAGAGGGCTAGATGAACATGAAAAAACCATTATTATTTCAAAAATTCAAGACAGTTTTGCAGAGCAGACTTAATTACATACCACCAAAATGTGACTTACATGATTCTGATGTGATGGAAACAGAGAGGAAGAAAATAGATAGCAAGATCAAGCATGGAATCCACGTCATATTTCTAAACGGTAGAAAGAAAGAATGTCTTCTTAAAGTACATTTTGACTACATCAGTAATATAACCCTATCGCTACTGCAAAGATAACAGTATACATCTTTTAACAGATAACAGTGATAAGCTGAATCACATGTGCTGATCTTTGGATAGAAGGGTATTTTTGACTTTAGGGCTTGCTATCTTAGCAAGGTACCATTTTTACTCAAATATAAGACAAGGTTCTCCCCCCACCCCCCCATCAATATGGAGTAAATAGTCTCCTTGTATTTGCATACAAGGAAACCTCACTAAATATATTTCTGTCATTAAACTGCTGCCAAAAGCAGCGTGTGCTCAGTAATGGAAACCAACTATAAAATTAATTAAATCCAGCCAACACTGAACATAACTAACACATGGCCCATATGGGACAAATATACTGATGAGAACTTGTGTGTGTGTGTGTGTGTGTGTGTGCGCGCGCGCGTGAGCGCCTACGCGCAGGTGCAAGTGCGGGTGCGTGAATGTGTGGCCTTTAAAAAAAATAGGGAGTTGTTCCCCAAGGAAGGAACAAGCATTGGACCAGGAGGTACTATGATACCAGGCTTGCACCAGAAAGGCCAGAGTAAGCCTTAATACCCTTCCCTTTGTGTCAAAAATGCTACTTTTGATCTTAGCTAAAAAGTCCAAGAGGCTGATGGCAGCCACAAGGATTGAGCAGTCTATCTGAATACGATACATGGTAGTGCCCATTGCACTCAATATCCCTCAGCATGACTCTTTTTTCAAGTCATGGTGAGCCACTGCATAGAATATATTTTGGTTTTCTTTTTCAAGTCATTGTGAGGCACTGCATAGGCTTCCTCTTCACTCCCAAAGCCAAGCTGCACCTTTCCTTCCCATTTCCAATAAGTCTTGTTTTTTAACCTGCCTTAAGTGTCTGGCAAACATCACTGAAGGGAGCCCCAAACAGTTTTCCCAGAATCTCTCTGTTGCTCTCAGTCTCCTGCATATGATTAGTGTGGCCCTGCCCTCCATGAAATGGAGCTATACCAGGTTGCCCTGCACCTCATCTGCATAGGATACCAGGACTCATAACAAGAACATGATAGAACAGTGGGCAGTGGGGTTCTGCAGGGCTCGGTCCTCGGGCCCGCACTGTTCAACATCTTCATCAGCGACTTGGACAAGGGGGTGAAAAGCACCCTGTTCAAATTCGCAGATGACACTAAAATGTGGGGGGAAGTGGGCATGCTAGAAGGGTGGAATAGGCTGCAATTGGACCTAGACAGGTTACAGGGGTGGGCGGATGAGAACAGGATGGGTTTCAACACTGAAAAGTACAAGGTGCTGCACCTGGGGAGGAAGAACCAGCAGCAGACCTACAGGCTGGGGAACTCCCTTCTCGTCAGTGCAGAGGCAGAAAAGGATCTTGGAGTCATTATTGATGCCAAAATGAACATGGGCTGATGGTGTGGGGACACGGTCAGGAAGGCCAACTGTACCTTTTCATGCATCCACACACATGCATCTCAAGCAAGTCCAAGGAGGTGATCCTCCCCCTCTATGTGACACTGGTCAGGCTGCAGTTGGAGTACTGCGTCCAGTTCTGGGCGCCGCACTTCAGGAGGGATGTGGACAACATGGAGAGAGTCCAGAGGAGGGCCACTCGAATGATCAGGGGTTAACAGGGCAGGCCCTACAAGGAGAGGCTATGGAACCTGAATATGTTCAGCCTCCACAAGAAAAGGCTGGGAGGGGATCTGGTGGCCATTTACAAACTAGTCAGGGGGGACCAACAGGCTTTGGAAGAGTCCCTGTTCTCCCAAGCACTACCAGGAGTGACAAGAAATAATGGTCACAAGCTGGAAGAGGGTAGATTCAGGCTAGATATCAGGAGGCACTACTTCACTGTCATGGCGGCTTAGATTTTGCAACCAAGTTCAAGAGAAGTGGTAATGGCTCCTACCCTGGGGGTCTTTAAAAGGAGGCTGGATGAACACCTTGCCGGGGTTGTTTGACCCCAGTACTCTTTCCTGCCATGGAAGGGGGTCAGACTTGATGATCTGCTCAGGTCCCTTCCAGCGCTACCAACTATGAAACTATGAAACACCCAGTTCCAGTCAGAAGTGGGGGATAATTAGCATGTGGATCCTTTGTGAGAGGTATAGGGAATACTCACATAGACTGGGAGTATCTACATGTGCTATTAATACAGAGCTATAAATTTTGACACATATTGTGCTGGCATTTATTGCTCCTGGACACTGTGGCAGAGGGTCCAGAGGGGTCAGCCAGCCAGCCCAAGGTTGTTCTGACCCTGCTCAACATATTGCAGAGGGGCTGAATGGGGCACAAGGGTGCTCCAGTGAGGGACTAGCCAGCAGGCATCCCCTGCACTGAAGCACCCTCATGCCCCAGCCAGTTGCATCAGTGTCTACATGTGCACTGGTGCAGAGTAAAAAACTCCACAGCAGGTACTCAAGTACTACCCTGCCACAGAGTTAATTTGTTTCTTGCAGCCTAATAGAGCCACACATGTAGATGTGAGATATTTACTGCACAGCTAATTAGTTTACTCCACAGTAAACATCTCAGGTAGACGCACCCATGGAGCAGTGCTGAGCTGTGGGGTCATCATGGCTTAAAATGCTGTCTCTGCTGGGGCCCAGTCCAATTAACTATATGGTAAATCATGAGCCTTTTGGCTTTGGATTAATATCATGCTTAGTTTGTATTAGATGCAGAAGTGCTGCTTAAAAGTGTTTTTACGGACTTTGCTAAAACTTGCAGCAGTTTCTAAAAAGATAAAATGCATCACTTCTGAACTAAATAAATCTATGGGTACCTCTAGTAATTTCCCTATGTGCAAGTTACTATAGATATGTTTATTTCTAGGTCAGTTTTATCAAATTTGCTTCTCATTTTCTAGTGCTCAGGCAGAGCAGAATCTGACAGTAAGGAAGGAGAGAAGGGGCTCCTAGAGAATTAAATTGAGGGGTTGAGGGGGCTACCAGACCCACAGATTTATTCTCCCTGCTGTAGCAGTGGGAAGGGGACAAATTGAAGGCAAATCTCCAATAGTTAAAGTCTATACCTGGAAAATTATAACAAATTTATAACATTTTCCATATATAGAATCTAATTATTAGGGTGGTCATTTTATAATCAGATGTGTCTTATATTCAAGTAAATGAGATAATAGTTAAAGTTACGCTGTCACTACGATTATAGGTAGCCTTAGATTCACAAAAAATTATCATGACATTGCTCACAGCTAAATGGCACTTTCTTGTTAGAAGCCTGAACAAAGTCAATTAAACCATTCTTGGCTTGCATTATATACACACATGGCAAAAAATGGACAATTCATCAAACAAAAGGGGATTGATAATGACTACTAAGTATTCATGAGTGACTAGTTATCACCAGTAGCTAGCCATATTTTCAGTTTTTCAAGAGAAAATTAGTGGCGTATGCATAATCAGTAATCATTGCCTTCCTAGATTTACTATGTAATCACAAGACACACCAACAAAAATATTCTTGACACAGTATATCAAGAAAACAGAGTATGTTGTGGTTATACAAAACCACAGAAAATAGCAATACAGGACTGCTCTCTTTCAAAGGTTATTAGAGTCCAATCAGTTGTATAGGACCTTTGAGGAGCTGCAGGTGGTCAGAGAAGTAGCACGCTTTGAAGTAAAAGCTGCAGCAAACAGCTGAGCTGCTTGTTCTGCTGTGAATTAAGCAGGTTGCAAAATTCCCAGATATGACTGATCTGAGTTCTAGTGTACCTTTTTAATATGATGGATTCTCAGTAGCAAATTCTATAGATATTTACTATGCATGCCATTTTATAAACCAAATAATTATTATTTAAACCAATGACTAACTAGCCAAAATGTTTCCTATAGAAACCAACAGGACTCCCACCAGGACTGAGGTGGACTGGTGAATAAGGCAAAATGGCTACTTATCCTCAGAATGAATTAACCATGTCTTACTGAGTCCACACACACACGCATGCAGAGGATTCTAATGTAGGCCCATATTTTGCCTCTCCACCTATACGCATTGTGTTAAAAAATGTTTGTGTTCCTAAAGGAAGGTTTCATTCATGTTCTCACAGGATTAATGCCTTTAATGGGACTCAGCAACCCCATGAAGGCAGGGATGAAATAGACAGCAGCAAAAGAGAGAAACCAAGGTACTCTCTGAATGAACTGAGATTGACGTACATAGAAATACAATGGTCCTGTTATATGCCAGGAGATTTTGTGCTTAACTGTATGTGTCTATGCAAGAGCTAATTTACTGCATAATACAGGCGCACATCTACAAGTGCACACCCTTACTGCACAGTAAAAATGGCTAATTGCACCTAAAGTTGATACCTGCAAATGCAGGTATCAAATTTAAGTGTGATTAGTTAATGCACAGTAACGCACATGTAGATACAACCCAGCACTAACTTTAGTGCCAGGTCTGCCCAGCCACTAGAGGGCCAGCCTGAGCCCAGCCCCAGGGCTCCTGGCTGGCCACGTCTCCTGCTCCAAGGCTGGGCTGCTCTCTAGCAGCCTCTAGCTCCTGGGTATAAAAGCCTGCAGCCATTTTATGCCTTGGGGCACACACACCAGGAGCCTGTTGTGTGTCTAGGAGCCCAGCAGTCATCGTGTGTCTCCCTGGACAGGCCACAGGCTGCCTCTGCCTGTCCTGCCCCCTCTGCAGAGCTGCTGCTTGGCCACAGGTGAGTGTTGCAAAGGGCTACAACCTGCTCCACCCTCTGCCAGCCCTGAAATCTCCCCAGGGCTGCTGGCTGGCTGTCTCTGGCAGCAGAGCCATCACCTACTCTGTGGTGCTGCTCAGCCCCAGCAGTGTCTCTTTGCAGGTGCTGTTGTGAAGTGCCTCTGCCATGTAGCTCCCAATCCCTGGCTGTGCCCCTCTGCTGAGTGCTCTGGAGCACTGTCTAGGGCTGGTGACACTCAGACAGCTACACAGGGGCTGCACAGGGGCCCAGA